ATTTTACTGGTTTAATGATGGCTTGTTGGTCGCTTACAAATCTAGAAAACCTGGCAGCATTGTGGCCCTCAATGACCTGGATTGGGGACAAAAATGGGAGCTTAATAGGACAGCAGTGTCAAAAGCGGTATTTCTCTTTATAGTTCAGCTGTTTGTATTTTTAATCATGAGATTAATATGAATGATAAGTACATTTTAGTTTTGGGTATTCCAATCAAATGATTCATTATTTTAAAGCACTTACTGTCTGAGTCATTTTTATTTCCCATTTTACTTAATTAGTTGCAGTTTTCCATCTTTAGAAACTGCAACTTGTCTTGATGAAAGTGTAATTTTACTTTGCAACGACTAAACTCCTGACATGTATATCTATAATAATAATTATTATTATTATTATTATTTATTTCCATCCATCTATCCATCCATCTTCCAAACCCCCGGATCCAGTACTGGGTTGTGGGGGAGCTGGAGCCTAACACATACAGACAGACACGCACACACTTACACTGGGCCAGTTAACCTAAAAACATGTCTTTGGACAGCAGGAGGAAGCTGGAACACCTGGAAGAAACCCACATGAACACGGGGAGAACATACAAACTGCATGCAGTTAGCAACCCAGGAACTGAACCCAGGGCGCCAGCACTGTGAGACAGCAATGCTCACCTCTGCACCACCACGCAAACCCCTAATTACTTATTAAATTAAACTCAATAAGCAGGACAAGATTGTGCAGACAATGCAAATGGTCGATTTTAAATGAAAATGGCTGTTTAAAATTATGGATTAAGATGAGATTTTTAGATACTTTTTTGTTTTTTAAATTGTAGTTTCTGTGCAGTTGTTCTGTTCTCCTCCCCACTGATAGTTGATAGCTGGTGTGTGGTCTCTCAGTGTTCAGGAATTCGGAGAGTAGGTGACAACTGTACACTGACACTCGTGTACAGTGCCAAAATAACCTCCCGTATTTCTTTCAGAAATTTAAATGATAAATCAAAAGTTTATACATTTTAACATGAGAAATGTGTCCTTACACTTCATATTTCTATTTCCAGTGCTCAGCAGATTATATTTTAATCTCTGAATCTTTAAGGATTCACCTTAAACCCAATGTTTGCTCTCCAACAAAGTTAATTATTATGACTTATCACAATCTACAGTCTAGTACACAAGTCCACAAGACGTGGAGATTGTGTTCTCAGTTTTCAGATTCTATTTTCCATGTGGTAAACTTCAGTATTTCATTATTCATAGCAATCAGGTCAGTAATGGTATAAATAACAAAATTCAAACCTTATATAATAAAGAAGACTGAAACAGTTAATGTTCTACCTGGATATCGACAACCATCTTGTCTTCTGAGGTCGTTTGGATCCTATATTTCTTTCAATACTGTCTTCCAGGATTGTGCTCTTGCGTTTACCTGTTGAATTTTTCCAATCTGGTTCTTTGTCCGAAAGGAGGAGGGTAAAGAGGAACAGGGCTTGGGCACCTCTACGCCTCCCAGTCACAGCTCACTGTGCCCCCAGGGAGAAAGGTGAATGTTCTTTTACTCTGCCATGGGTTGAAACCTAAGACTCAGGGTAGTCATAGGTGTCTCTCTTGAATGTGTGCAGTTTCAGGACCTGTAGATCCTGTTTTCAGAATCCTTTGGTGACATGTTGCTAAGATTGTATTTGAGTAGACGTTTCCATTAAATCACATCATTTTCTGCAGAAGTTTACTTTGCTGGAAACCTGACAAAATGGCCACAAGTAACAAAAGCTAAACATCATTGTGATGACAGAATGACGGAAACAGTACAATCAAGAGACACACACACACAGAACATAATAACCTAAATCCCAAATCTCACATCACCACCACATGACACATTGCTGGCAGACAATACACACACACATTTTTACATGAACGTAATCCCATACCATTGTAAGCAATGTGATTACCGTAGCGTTTTCTCTTGCTTGTAATATCCTGATCAGGAGTGTGTGTGACTCTTTTGTGTTAAAACCCTGCTCTTGCTTCAGAAGTAAATAGCAATAAGGGATTTCGTAACTGACTAGACCTGAATTAATGGTAAGAGCATTGTTTTCAAATGTGTACCTGTGTCCTGTGATAAACTTTGGGAGAGAAATACTTTGTGGAGTCTTTAGTGAAGAAATACTTGGAAGTCTGATGTTTAGTGAAGGTGAATAGCTGGGGGCATATGTGGTGAAGTTTGATTATCTGATTCAATAAACTATAAGAATATTGCTAACAAATTATGGTTAATTTTAATGTATGGTGAGATTTATGATATTTTCTTGTGATATTTCTTCATCAACATCATGCTCCTGTGAGGCTAATTGACTAAACGATTAATCACTGAGGATAAGTGATCTTTTTTGGATCATAGCTATTTGGATGGGGTTAGGTTTAGTATGCAACCTGAAGCAGTTTCTTGGTTTTTGTATATCTGCACAGCACCGCCACTCTTTTGAAAGAGTGTTTGACAGTGTTATTGACTAATATTGGCTGTGTAAAATTGAATAAGGCAGCAACCTCTTAATTATCATGTTTAAAGACTGAATTAATGTTTTTTGCTAACTCTCTTGGTAGCAATTTACTGGCAGTAGAGTATTGCTGATACCAAATGCTGAAACACGGGGGGTAGAAGAGGTCTAACTATGCCTGTCTGAGGCAATAATTTATCCCTTTAATCTCTTTATTTATCTTCAGCAAGAACTCAGCTGGAGTAGAGTTTGTTAACATTAACTGACCAAAGATAAGAATTGATCAGCTTTACAGCCCCTATTAGGTTTTACAGGAAACAAATATATTTAACTGATGTCAAGTCAATTAAAGGTTCTGTTGCCTTTGCTGGTAAGACTTGGTTTTAGCTCTAGGGAGTATTACTCCATCAACAGAGGATGCGGAAGCAGAAGAGCAGGTTATCAAGGTGTGTGGAGGTGGAATGTGTACACATCATGAGAAACTTGACTTGCTTCAAGGACCAAAGCAAAATCCCAGGACAATGATCAGTAATGTACAAAGAATACTGCTAAAGGTTTTGATGCTAAATGTGACCTTTCTGATCTTTCACCCATGTCCAAATCCCATTTCCTCATCCATCCCTAATATTGCATTGTCAGGATGTCACTTTTACCTAGTTAGGGGTCATAGCAAACTGGGTCCGATACTGGAAGCACCTCAAGGGGATTCTGCGTTTCCTTCAAAATACTGATTGTGATTTTTTGTCCACTTGTAGATTTTTTTTGTGATCTGCATCCTGTTTCTTTGACGAAAAGGGGGCAAAGGGAAGACAAAGAAGACAGGCTTCTCTCCACCTCCCAGTGACGGCTCATTGTGCCCACGAGGGAGAAAGGTGAATGTTCTTTTACTCTGTGTTGAAACATAATTGTGAACGTAGTCAATGGAGCCTCTGAGAAATGTGTGCAATTTCAGGACCGGTTGCACCCGTTTGTGGAATGCAGTAGTTGTTAGTAGCTTAAATCTTGTTTTCTCCATGACATCCATTAAATCAAGTACAGTACTTTCCTCCTGTAGATTTTGTTTTTACTGGTAACATTTTGAACAATGAGCTGCATGAGGCTAAATGATTAATGACTGAGGCTAAGTGACCTGTAGCTCGATTACCTATTTTTAAGGTCTTAACTATTTGGATGGTGTTAGGATTAAAATAAACCCTGAAACAGCTGGGTTTTACACCCACCCTACAGTGTGAAATGTAAGGAAATGGATCACTGTGCTTCTGCTGGCCCCTTCAAGCAGCACATTACAGAGTAGTTCCATTTTTGAGCACTGTGAAACATATTGACCAGTTTAAGACAGTATAAGATAATTCCAGATAGCATTTTGACTCTCATCCAGATGAACTTTGTGAGTCAATATGCACAGCAGTATAATAAACCACATTCCTTACAATTATTCAAGAATGGAGTTTGGAAAGAAGCACAGAACATACATTCCAAGTCCTCTTTTGTTATCCATCCTTGTATTATTCTGTTTGTACGGATGCAGACATGTTTACCACCGTCAGTGGCGTTAACCTCAGTTCCCAGAGGGCTGAGACAGGGTTCTGCGGTTATTGTTTCAACCTGAGCAGTCAATCATACAATCAACCTATTTTCCTAAGCAAGAGTATTATATAAGTATTGGAATTATTAAGCTAATCAAATAAGTAATATATATGTAATTGCGAAAATTACAATTAATTGAGCTTCTGTCGCGCATTATAAGATGTTTCCTACCTGACCTTCTCAGTATTTGATATCAGCTACTGTGCTCTGAGTGTGTTGCTGCCAAGAAATTTAGTAACAAATCTGTATCCATTCTACTAATTTAAAGATTGCTGTGTAATTCCTGCCTTAATTAAACATCAGCCAGAGTAACACTGCCAAAGTCATGAATTAGAGTTCAATATAAAAAAACAGGGTTATTGTGAAGAACTTCTCTGTCTGGCTAGTTAAAATCTTTTTTTTTTTGGTCTCCAATGAGCTGTTCAGTACATTTAAATCTATATAGCTTTTCACCACTGCTAAGTTTTAAAATCACCCATTAATTCTGTTATTATTACCCAAATCAAAGCCACAAATACACTAATAGCTGTTAGCGGCACTGAAAGTGTCAAATTCCCTCCTCTTGCTCAATGAGAACCTCGCAGATCTGGTTCTAGAAATGAACAGCTTCCTTGTCCTTTGTGTTGCTTTGTGTTGTTCTAGTAAAAGTGTGAGTATCTTATTTTCAAAATTATTAGAGTCATTTATTAAAACATTTTATGTTTAAAATGAAAAATAATAAAAGGCACAGGAAATATTCAACCTGGTCCTGTTTCAACACTATTCTCACAGTAAAACTCGCATGACTCAATATACTGTAACCTTACTTTTGTAGGAGAGCGTTTTGCCGTCTCAGTCATCTATGTCCAGTATGTGTAATGAATTTACACATTAAAACAGTCACAGTCATTTTGGCAAAGACAGCATAGACATGTCCTCAGTTTAAAAAAAAATGTTTTGGCTGCTGATCAGAATTCCCAAAACGTTTAACTTTATTTTCAGTTCAGAAAAGACGGCAATGTACACCTACTGTAAAACACATTTTGGTTAATTCCAGTTAAGAATAGGGTATTCTTCTAATAAGGCATCTGTATACTAAGAATCTTTGTTTTAATCATCTGTTGCCTACAGTACGTACTGTTGCCTTGACCACACACGTGCTGTAGCGTTATTTTAACACCTGGGGAGGCTCAGGCGTCTTCAGTTCAGTTCAGACAGGGTGGGGGGGGTCGAGGTCGGGGCGGGGATATCTGGCTCTGAGCACAGCTGGGGAGAAGCGGCCGTGCAGCGGGTCCTGGGCTCGGTTCCGGGCTGCGATCCTTCTGGGTGGAGCTGGCATGTTCTCCCCAGGCGGCGGCCGCGTCTGTCCTGGCTGCTGCCCCTCCGGTCTCTGATTTCACAAGTGACCAGATCAACACTCCCCGCACAGCGCTGGCACAGCGCCGGTGTGAGGGCCGGGAACACGTGGGGCAGAAATGTACACAATCATAGGGAAACAACCTTGAGCACAGAACAGGAACCCTTCATACGTTATCTACTGTATATCACAGCGCAGTAACACGCTTAATTTCATCCTCTGGTGTAGATTGTAGATGGTGTATTGTTGTGTGTGTGTGTATATGTTTATAAACAAAGTTATAAGTGTTCAAACTTACCGCTCAGTAAGCCCCCTGAAGCGGCTCCGCTCGCCCACCGCCCGTCGAGCAACAAGTTAACCAGCAGGGGGTGCTTTTTAAAAGTAAAAAACCCAAACAAAAAAAAAGTGTAATCGACTGTACCGCTACAGAGGGCTGTGTGTTTAAATGCAACAAACGCGGCGTCGTAGATACAGACCCTAAAGTGACACACAGAAAGTCATGTACTGTACCGAGGTAAGAGAGAATTTTATTTTAAAAATCTCTAAACAAAGTGCACCCTTTTCAGAAAATCCCTTTTTTTTAAATGTACTCTGCTGAGGATAGGATTATAATTATTAAAACATATTTAATTTGTTCTAGGCTGTACAATCCTATTCGATAAGGCCTATGTTTTGAAGCAAATATTTATTTAAAGAAACAACAGAAATTAGAAATACAACACAAAAAAGGATTTGTAACGCTGTGTGAATCACGGTGTTATTTTCATAAAGGCGATGCATTCAGTTTGCATTTCCAGTAAAGGTTTGGACAGAAGTTCTAATCTGGTAGTTTCTGAAATAAAAACAAAATATTTTGTTTTTCAAGTAATTTAACATTACAATTAACTGAGTATTTGCACTATGGTCATCTGTTCAGATGCACTAGGTGAAATAGTGCGTCTGTGGACAGGAGTCTGGCAGCCCCAGCGAGCTTTATAAAGAGGTGCAGATATTAGTGATATTAATCACACACACACAAAAACATTTAATACGAGAGATGTGATTAAACGGGACCAATCAACATAATTTATCAATCGGTAATTGAGCAGGACTTATGTCGTCACTTAAGTCAAACTGATAACTGAAGTATGAAATCTAAGTTACATTATAACTGCTTCCGAGTCGATGAAAGTGCAACTAATGTAATAATTATTTATTAATAATTTAATTGTATTAAATGTAGTCGATGAAAGTATTCGTGCAGTAAATACATTTAAGGGGTTTAGCTTTTCTATCCGTCGCTAGATGTGCTCAGTTCTTCAGAAAACATTTCGAGATCAGTTTATAGGGCAAGTCGTAACACTTGTATTCCTTTTTTACCGCTAGATGACGCCACTGCTCCAGCCAACCTCGGACTGAATTGGCAGGTCTTGTGAAAGAAACGCACATCACCTATAACCAGATTCTTGAATTTACTCAGAGCAAAAACGAATAAATATCACTCAGAACGCTAAGAAAATGATTAAGTTATCAGGAAACAGGAAAATACGTTTTTTTATTGAAACCACCACATACATAAATTCATTAGGCTGTTTAGCCTTTGTCATTATCAGAATTTTTTTAAAATAAAAATGCAATACAAACTGTAAGTTTACTTTTGTACAGCCTGGGCAAGCATAGCTGTTAAGTTGTCCCTGAGACCGAGAGCTCATACTGTACATCATCCCACTGATGTCTCTGGGGCTCAAGTCTGGAGAATAGGGCATCCATAGCATAACCATCGCATTCTCACGTGGCAACAAAGCTCCTGTTACAGTAGCAGTAAGAGGACAGGTGCCGTCCTGCTGGTCACATCTGGAAGAGCCCACAGGACTTGATCAGTGCAGAGCTAATCAGGTCTGTCAGGCTACTATCAATCACTACACGTGGAGAGCTATAGTGACTGGACTAGAGTTCTGCTCAGGATCACACCTGAATATCCCACTCGCTATTGGAAAGATGTCATGACTCACGGTGTCTTGTGTCGTGGCCTGTCGTTGATGGACTGTATTTGCCTGTAACATCTTGTCAGATTAGAAAGTGCTGCAGCAAGACAGAGGAGAGTGAGCGACAGAATCCAATATCCCGATGGCACAAAGGCACAGTTCAGCTGGTAAGAGGGGAATATTGTTTCCATTCTGTAAGGCACATATTACTGGTTCTGAATCTGGAGCCTATCCCAGAAGGCACAGCGTGGACCCACACATAAGTAAGAGACAAGTTAACCTAACCAGCTGCTTTTTTGAGATGGGAAGAAACCGAAGTAAACACAGGGGACCATGCATCCTCCACACAGAAGAATCACCAGTTCCAAACTGAACCCAGGACTAAAGACTGTAAGGCAGCAGTGCTAACAAACAACTTTTCACATTTAAATGTAATTAAACAATTAGTACAAAAGGTTTAAAGATTATGGAATCGAATTAATGTAAAACAAGAACATTGTCTCTTAAAATGATTGTGTAGTCGATCCATTATCCGTTTCATCTTTGGTTTTAGATATATTTTCCTCACTTCAAAAAAGTAAGTCTGGGAGCACCACTCAAATACTTACTTTTGAGATTAACTTTTAATTTGTAACACTGGAGACAAAAAGCATGTAGAACACAGTAGAATCTATATAAAAGACCACAAAACAGTGTTTTTCAAAAGTAAGGCCACGGTCAATGAGGTTACTGCTGAGGGGCTATCAAGTTAACATGGCTTTAGGAGGGCATCAGAAAATTTTAAGTCTTACAGTATATTGTAAACACAAATGGTAAGATACAGCTGCAACAGAACCAAATCCCATTTTTCCTGAGCCTCTTAACATTCAACATTTAAAACATCAAATACTTGATTTCAAAGTGAAATCTGACCTGGATTTAAGCATGACGACAAATCACTGTGGGAGTTCACCAGAGACTGGAGACGAGATACAGTAAATGGTGTATATCTATTTAACAGAACAATATAGATAATAGGAAAATAATCAGATTCACCTAAAATGGCAGAAAAAATCATAGTTACCCTAGAATTAGGGTTTAAGTATTGATCCCTAACATATTATAAACTTAAAAGAGGTTTTCCCTTGATTGCATTAATGCAATGCAGTCCCATTGATAATGTAGTGTCCCTATTCCAGGTGTTTCCAGCTGGTGCCACATCCAGCAGGTTAACAATTTAACCATCAGCTACTAAACGTATAGAACGATTCAGGTGTGAGCAAGTGCAGCTGGTTTGTTAAATTAAATGAGATCATCTCATCAACAAATACCTACTAACCTTAAGGATCAGAGTCTTATTCAGTGAACTAATTACTTGCTTAAAATGTGCTTAAATCTTGAAATTTAAGTGTTGTAAAACTGTGATTTAGAATGTTTACAATTAGTAGCCATGTAATGCATACTGGACTGGATTGTGCTGGACCAGTAGTGAAGATCCCTGTTCTAGTATCTTGATCATTTTCACGTCAGCACCCCTGACTTGTGTATGACATTATTAATCTTTGGCACTAGCTCCTGTTGAAAATCCCACAGCGTGGTGTCCACAAGCAGCTGTTCTTTAGTAAGGTGACCCTGAAGTGGCACACGGACATGTATGATTCTGCACACATCTGGGGGGATCCTGAAAGTTTCCCCGTAACTTTTTAGAACAGAATGCACAGATGTCTGCACCACCTGCCTGGGGTTGATGATCAGTTTGGTGGGGTTAAAAACATTCTTCCTGTCTGGTTCCCTGTAGATGTGCTCCAGTATGTTAATCCCTGGCACCTCTCTCCAGAGGGGTAGGTCAAACCTCTTGTTGTCATCGAACATGGTCTTGGGGAAGACATGGTTCTCCACCACAAAAACCCCCACCTTGGGGTTCTGAACAGAGAGGTTTCCCATGAGCTCATGCAGCCCGCCATGCTTGTAGGGCATTATGATCTCGTCCATGTCATTGAGGAGCAGGTACTTGGACTTGTACATGTTTCTGTAGATGCAGTCGTTGAGTGTAGTCAGCTGCCCATAGTAGTGCAGGTCTCCCTTGTGCACTGCGAAATTCCAGCCACGTGATGGATTGAGGAATTGTGTTATGGGCCACGGCACCACCTCCAAGAGTCCCTCCTCTGAGTAGTAATGCAGAACCTTATCCAGCTGTGGCCCACAGCTGGTGTTGTAGATGGTCACCTTCTGTATTCCCAGGATCTTGTACACCTCCATGGTCTGTATGAACTGCAGGGCATTGTTGTAGTCCCCAAACAGGTTGGAGATGCAGACTGTGAACTCATAAGGGAAGTCACCCTCGGTCTTCTCCCGGTTCCTTATGGGCAGAGAGAGGCTCCCTCCTCTCTTCCTTTCTTCCCTTTCGATAGTGACGTGTGAAGCATTGCACTCAGGATTCTCTTCACACAGCAGGTCTGTAGTTGCAAAAGGGAATCCGAAATGGTCCCTGTGGATGTCTATCTTTACTTTAGTCTGGAAAGTTGAGCCATTTTCACAGCAGAAAATACAGGAAAGTGCCTCAAGGTTGTGTCGGTGAACTATCCCTATAACACGAGTCAGTCTCTTTTCTCTGTGATCTTCATAGGCAGAAAGAATGAAGTGTTTTGTATCCTTGATTGGATAAATAGTTTCCTCAAGCAGATATTTTGGACAAGGAAGGGAATGTTTTGGGCCTGGTGCAGGGAAATTTACTGGTCTTAAACTACATTGATTGTAACTCAGCCATACCAGACCTATGACAAGCAGTGCAAGAACAGCCAGCAACCAGTGTTTCACTGCCATTGGAATTTGCATCTTTATCACCTGTCCAGATCAGTGGTCGGAGCTGATACCTGCAGCAGAACAGAAACAGAGGGTCAGAGAGTCCTGAGTGAATAAGGTGTGTTGATGGGGCTTGTAAGGGCAGAACTTGCTTCATCTAGGATTTTTACACACAAGGGCAGCACTGCAGCGCAGTGTCGTCTGGTCTGGGGTCCGACACCTGCTGTCAGTTACTGAACTGCCGTCATTGTTCCACAAAGTGAAATAGGAGTTGAACACCCTTCTAGACCCCAAACTGTTGTGTTCTGTGGGTGTGGCCACCATGTATCAGGCTGGTCTTCACCATTGATCTTTAATCAATTAAAAAAAATAATAACTTATAAGAATATTCAATCAAGTATATTAACTTATTGTAGGACTTAATTCTCAAATAGATGGACATTAATTTCGTTGTGACTTACTGACTGGGATTCAAGTGCTTCCCATTTTTAACTCTTCAGAGCTATAATAATAATCGAGCAGGTATTCGTCAGGCATCCTTATCGGATTCCACCTAAGGGCTGAAGCAACTCAGGAAGCAGAAGTGGGACTGTGGGATTACTGATATGTGTGTTCACTGGGAACAGTTAGCCCTGTGATGAGAGATCTGAGGCAACCCAGGTTGCTGCTGTCAGTGGTGATACTGGACTACTGTAGTTGGTGGCACGCTTACCTCTGCACAAGAATATTCAATCCAATACCCCAGTATGGCTACAGGGAACACTGGGCAGTAGGTGAACTCTAAGTGAGATGCTAAACCAAGTTCCTGACTACCTGGTCTTCAGTTTCCCATGATAGTTCCACTCTGGGTCTGAACAGTTGTGGGCTTAGAATTTTTGGGGGGTAGGACACTGCTTTGTAAATGTAAGTAATTATTATTAATCTTGACATAAGCTAAGAGTGGAGTTGATTCCACAGTAAATAGATACTTCAAAAAAAATTAATTCTCTCTCCACGTCAACTGAAAATATACAGCCCGAGAACTGGGCTCTCAAACCTAGCTCCTGGTCTCTGCTTGTTTCTTATCACCATTGCACAGCCTATTAAAATGGCATCCTAACTATTCATTAATTCGACTTGTAAAGGATTTGAGAGGATCATCGGTTTTTGACAAGACACGGAAGAAATTATTTTGAGAAGCAAAGGGGTGCAGGCTGCAGTAAAGTTTAAGAACTATAAAACATCTCTGAGGCATGTTAGAAGTACTACATTTGTGCAGTAATTAAAATAACATCCACTATTTAATAGAGCTCTACCTAAATCTGACGGCCCCAGGTGAGAAATTGCTTCGCAGCACTGCACTCCGGGCGGGAGTACCAAGAGTTTTTTTCCCTTCTGTCAAGGCGATACGAGCAGTTTAGGCAGCTTGGGAAAACACCCGAGAGCGCGGGAGCAGGCGGTTTACAGTCCAAAGAAAGAATGAAGTACGCAATCATGAGACAGGCGGGCGTCAAATCGGACTTCTTGCGGAGATACGATCGATAAATCTAGACTGCAAAACAGGCAACTGCTATGATCTGTCTGTCCTGAGCACAAGAATTCAAGACACTAGCCATTTCTACCTTGTCAAGACAGAACTGTTTAGGTAGCGTGGAATTAACCTCAGCTTCTTTCTAACATTGTGCCACGTCGTGCGCAGGAGGTTAATTACCGAATTAACTTAATTACCAAATGCCGGTGTGTCTCTTTCACATCTCGCTAATTAGAACTGCTGTTCCAAGTTCATTTTCCATATGACAGAAACGAACTCTCTTTTTTGTTGAAATGTCAGATTTTTAAAAATACTACATTCAGTATATACCTAGACCTTAGACTCAACAAAAGAATAAGATTAAATTATAGTCAAAGTATTTGGAATTGTTTGTTTCGAAATGTGCGGTGTTCGTTTAAAACAGAATGCTAAAAGACTCTCACGTTTTGCAGATACGTATTTCTGAATTATCAGCTCACCTTAAGATATAATTAAACGAGGAGAGATACAATGAAACAGGTTTGATTTCACAGTGAGAAAATAGGACAAGGAGCACAAGTCACCGCTGAATTGTGGCTAAAAATGAAGTGTTTCTTCGATACCGAGTCAAAGGCCAAACATTATTTAAATAAATGAGTTTAAATATCCTGTGATAATTAGTGTAAAAGTAAAACGCGCTAAGTGTCATATGTCCATTCTAGAATTAGTAAAATGTTTAAGTTAAGAAACTTTAAGTAACCCGCTCAATTCCAGAGCAGCATTTCTGGAACAGTAAAAGACCTGGAACTCTGAAATTTCCGAATTACAGGACAAACTCAGACGATTAAAAGTGCCATCAAACCGACGCTGAAAATATGCGATCCGGACGGACTATAAAATGGCAGACGTGTTCATTTTAATCTGCTCTCCGAGTGAACATCAAACCGCGGAGCTTGAACTGAGACTGAGGTGAAGGTTTGATTATTCGCATATTGCCAAGAAGAACGGGCTCAGATTACGAATGTTTGAAAACCCTCAAATGCATCAACAAAGTCAACAGAAAATATTTCTTTAGAATGAACAGTGAAACCCAAACTACAGAACACAATTGGGAACTACAGGGATGTGCATTTTAATAATAGGAGGTACTTTTTTACCCAACGGCTAAAGTCAAGGTGTTGAAGCCGATACCCTGTTTAATGTCAAGAAACCGGATGAGATTCTTGGATCAATTACCTCCTTTCCAACGGGCTACATGGAGAAAGTTTTCCTCATTAACGCTTCTTAGAAAGGTTATAGTGCTGCACATGTCACTAAACAGGCTCTAATTCAGCTGTACAACCAGGTCTCGTACGCATTACCATTCTTATGACTGTACGGGAACGTACTGCACTAAGTCGGTACAATGAGAGGACAGACCAATTTTCAATTAATGCCCTTAAAATGTTATAATAATAATAATTGCTTACACTTATATAGCGCTTTTTCTGGACACTCCACTCAAAGCGCTTAGATAATGGGGATCCCCTCCACCAACACCAATGTGCAGCCCCACCTGGAAAAGGTGGATGTACCTTTGAAATATATGGATGTACCTAAAATGTCCCTTGAAAGACCAATTAATGTTCTAATCGTAACTGTGTTTATCCTGTAATTCTGCAGGACATCATTAAACTTGATCTTCCTTGCATTTTCAGAATCATGACCGGTTCTTAAACTCAAAATATTATCCTCAGATACCATCCACACTTTCCCTTCTGTTTTAATACCTTTCCAGTTCATACCCTATTCGGAACTGGGTTCTTCTTTCACGCTGTAACAATTATTATTATTATTATTATTATTATTATTATTATTATTATTATTATTATTATTACAGAGTGTAACTGTTAATATTTCACATCACTGAGATATTGACCAGAGCAGTATAACAAAGGTTATGTATTTAACGTTCGATCGTACAGATGTCGAATTAATTTCAATATTATTGTGTGTGTGTGTGGGGGATTCCCCCTTTTTAAAAACCTGTAAAACATCGAGACAAAGTACAATGGTTCTTATGTGGCTATTATCCTCAAATACTATCCAATTTACCTCTGTTTTAGTAATACATTTCGTTTAAATACCTCTCCTTTATCAGTAGAGGTTACGCAGTTAATTTTGTTATAACGAATTTATCGTCGACGTGCCTTTAATTCTTTGGCCTGCTCTTCTAAAAACAAGGCTCGTGTGTAAGAAATTACCCTAAGATTAAAAATAAATTCTAAAAAGTGCTGATTTTTTACTTATTAAATATTCAGGTCTATTACTGTACACGTACAGATTTGGCCGTATGATAAAAATTATCTACTGTAACAAATCTTAAGAATCATCGTCGAACATTGTTTTTAGAAAAGCGGTTCATACTGTGTATTTTTTAAACGAATACTTTCGGTTTTGAACAACTGCTGCACACATTGCGAACATCCGGACACTGTAGTTTAGGTTTATTCAAATGGATTTAAAAATATTATGTTTAACGATGTAGACGCGAGTATATTTAAATAATGTACACTAGCCCACGCCCAGATATTTGTCTATTAAAACATTTACGGTAACATACTGTAAAACATAATATAGGTATAACAAAAAATAACCACCGCATTCTAAACATAAACTGCATAATATATCAAATACCTTTAAAACAAAAACAAATTCATGTGCACAAAATATATTTGCATTAAATTTACACAAAACCCGTCTAGTGATTTTAATCTAAAACTGACAGAGTTAAATTAAACGTCCTTCCTTCTGTTATGTTACAGAATAGCGGTGCATATGACCCCATTGATCTCGCCCGAATATTATCTGGAAAAAAACAATTCAGCGCAAGAAGTAGTTTTTGATATCTGGTACTGTTCTTAAGCAATTTATTTTGGAGGTTACTTTTATTCAAGTATGTTTGTTTATAAAATATAGTACTTTTTACTGCACTATACAGTATTTACCATAATCATTTCCGTTCCTTGTTTCTTCATTATTCTGGCCGCCCTGGAGACCCGAAACTAACGGAAAGCTGCGCAGACTCAGCAGAACTTTGTTTTGTCCACAATCGTCACTAGGTCAGGCACCCACGAGATGTCGGGTAAATTGTGAAGACCTTCCTGATTCTGTGCGGAAACGTAGTGCTCCCACTGTTTCTGGGTTGTCCCCAGCTGTGTGCTCAATTGCAACAAAATGAGCGCTGAAGCCCTTCTGATCCGTGTTCAGCACAGTACAAATGGTTAAGCTGCTGTTCTACCCAACAGGAACTAAAGGGGGCTCTGAATCTTAAGAGCTTTTGAATCACGTTTTTCGACGAGTTAGCTAATATAAAGACCGACATTAATAATGACCGATTACTTTGTCGCCTGTGTATACAATGCATGTATACCTACATGCTTGTGATAATTTAATGAGTAATTTTTAATGGAGGAATTTCATCCTAAAATACTCCAGGTGGCGTATAAACTACCTGTGGGATACACTATCAATTGTAACTAGCCGAGAAACAAATGAGTACAAGTTCTGCGAGTCTGATCGTATGGCGTATCACAGTGGCTTTTTAATGTTCATTTATATATAATACAGAGACATAAGGAGGTAGTTTAGACGCATAAATGAACGCATCGGCAGTTCATTTTCTACGGTATGCTGCATTTATGTGAACGCAATTCTGTGAGGATAAGCTTTATGCACTTTTACTACTGGAGTGTGTACGGTGTATAATACGTGTATTATGCATTATATACAGTAAATACAGAACTGTTCACTTGATATCGGTAACTGTCTTTATATTATCACCTTTGGAGAAGTTGGAACATGTTATACCGACAGCAATATACAGTAGGGGGCAGTGTTAATACATTTTGAAAAAAAGCAGCAGCTTGTGCTGTTATAGAATTGCTTTTATAAAACGGTTCCAAATATGAGATTGCTGTATAGAATTAATTTAAATTAAAAAAAAACATTTAACACAGAAATTAAGCTGTTTACGTTCCTCCGCCATAAACGCATAAGTAACACATAAACCATAACCATAAACACAGCCATAAGTAACATTAGAAAAGAGGGGACATTACCTAAACAGTCCGATAAAGGAATAAATGACTTGTTTTTTATTTCTTGTGCGCATTTATTTGAACATTTCCACTGATCGTACAAGCATTGAAAAACTGTCCAATCCCGAGTTCGTCGGGCACTGTCTTTCTCGCTGGGGGGGCGCTCCCACTGCTGCTGGTCTCCGTGCCTGCCAGGATATCACTCCTGCGCTTTCTGTCGTTAAAATCGGGTTTCCAGTAACTTCTGAGTGAACTCTCGTTTTTAACAGACACTAACAGACACCGTCTCCCTAGCTCCTAACCGAGCGTTTGATCATTTCTGCACCATTGTGCTACGAAGGCATTGGTTGGTGTAACCTTTTGTCCCAGCTGCTCTCGCGTACAGTTTTGTACGTCAACTTGAGTTATCCAAAGCGTTAAGTTGAAAGTGCTTTTTTAAGCACTGTCGTAAGATTTATTTTAATGCACATTTATTATGTACTGTACCAATCCACCAGAAAGTAAAACAAGTTTTGTCATGAAAACGTATTTATTACAAATGTTACTTTCTCTCCTCTTAAGAGCATATGTATATACTGTTACAAAATAATAAAAATGCACATTTCTGAACTGATCGGTACCTTGGAACTGGAAGTCCCGAGTAGTTTTAAGGCAAAATGGATTCCGGATTCATTAGTCTTTTAAAATTGCTTATGGTTATGGTACTGTAGAGGTCGGTTCGATGTCACGCATTCGACGCCGTGTTTACCGAGTAATTCTGAATAACATCATATAAATTACATGCTCTACGACTAGATGTCTTTTCACGAATACGCAAGGACAACGTTAATTAAATTTTATTTGCAATTAATTCATAAACTACAAATATTACAATCAAATGCCTTTTACTGTCTCTATTGTTTTAAGTAATACATTTCGTCTAAATATTGCTCCGTCTTTTAACGCATTTGGAGTTGGGTTATTCTTTCATGCTGAAAAAAAAACTCGACTTTGTCCGACAATATTAAATGTAAACTGACTGTACGTACTAATTGTTAATCAATTCTTTACGACATAATACTGAACATAATTACGCATTGATTGAAGGTTATAATTTTAGAGCAGTGTTCCAAAATATTTTAAATAATTGTTATCTATTCAACATGCGATCGAATGACCCGTATGAGTATATCAGTTACTCATTTTAATTTATTCGAACCATTTCCTCTTTCTTAAAAACAAATTGTAAAACATCGAGTTCAAATGGTCCAGTTCGTTCATAAACCAAGTCGTTCAGAAATACACCACAGACAGGGCAGTATTATACAGAGAGCACTGTGGCTAGGGCCTACACTACGAAAACCACAGGAACTGTGACAATACTTGACCTTATGTATATTGCAAGGATAAACTATCCGAAACAAATATCCAGGGTAATTCTGATCACCTGTCTATGGAAGCCCGTTTCCGCCAGGGAGTAAAAAAAAACGCGCTATGGGATCTCAGAATTCCGAATTAGTTACTCAGAATTGCGACTTCGAAATAGCCCATACAGTATATCATTGTCTGTCCTTTTGTTATTGTAACGGATTCGGGTTCTAGGGCTGGTGCCCTCGCCGCTCCCACCCTAGTTCGTGCCTCACTGCAGGGGCTCGAACCCAGGTCTTGCCAACTGAGCTAAAGAAGACCTTCTTTTTTACAATAGAAATACAATAGAAATACGTAAAAAGTATGTTTCAGCTTTTATAATTGTGAATTCCTCTGGATGTGAAGTGCCTATTTCTGTATCTTATTTCATATTCTGTCTCCGTAAATAAAAACTATTTTTAAAAGCCCACCACGCACTATTCCATCCGGGTACTGCGGAAGCCTCACTGGCGGAAATGAGATTCTATAAAAACGAGTGTAATTAATGTGATTTTTATCAGGGCACTGTACAAGACAAGTCTCCAGGCTTATAGATCCTATGATCCTGTACGATTCATGAAAATAGTGTAACGGAACGGCCGACATACAGGTTGTACGATCTGGTTGCAGTGTGGTGACGGCACCGCCCTCCCCTGCGCATAACAGGGATGCTGGCCGCCGGGGATAAAGAAAGTGTTCTTGAGCTCAGCTGGCAAGACCCGGGTTCGAGCCAATGCAGTGAGGCACGAACTAGGGTGGGAGCGGCGAGGGCACAATCCCTAGAACCCGAATCCGTTACAATAACAAAAGGACAGACAATGAAATATGGACTATTTCGAAGTCGCAAATGTGAGATATAAAGTCGCAATTCTGACTTACTAAGTCGCAATTCTGAGATACCATACTGAAGCGCGTTTTTTTTTTACTCCCTGGCGGAAACGGGCGTCCATACACCTGTCAGACCACGGCAATCGATACACCTATACAAATGCTTTGACCACAGGGCCTATAATCCGGCCCAGAACACAGAACGTCGCGTTCGGAAGCGCAACTCGTCCTGCTACGTCAATTCGAATACATCCGCGATTTGTAGCGCTTTTAACAAACAGCGAAAACAAACTTCCTTTAGGTAAGAACCCTTAGTGTGGTTCCTCGAAATACGTAGATGCTATCTTTGAAGAGGCATTGTTGAAATCGTTCGGTGGTTCTCCGAAAACCTTCATTTCCAGGATTCAAAAAGGGCGGCGGGTAATCAAGGACAAGAAGCCCGCACCTCGCCCAAACGGCTTCCCTTCCTTCTCTATTAGAGGACCCCGGAGCAGACGAGGGAAAAGTCGCGTTCGTGTGCTTTATCCCATTGGTATGACAGAGGTTACAGAGAAAAGGGTTCGTTTGGGAGGGAGAATTGGGCGAACCTTCTCTTCTCAATTGCGGTCACGCACAATAACGATTTGATTATAAAGAAATGAACGTCGCCACGCCTGTAATGAGCTGACCCGCTCTTCCAAAAACAAGGCTCGTGTGGAAGAAATTCAACTAAAAAAACTGATCAACCCTAAACCTGCAGCTGTGCCTTTCCTTTTAGAAACAGCCTGCTTCTTAAATATTTAGGTCAAGTACATACAGATTTGGACGTATGAAGCAAGATGGCTTCCACGTGTGGACTCGTTGAGAGCGTCATAAAAGACGATATTAATGACGGGCATCGTCGGCGTCAATGATACTCAAACTGGCTTTGTTACCGGAGTAGATGCGAGCATATTGTACCAGTACTGTGTAGTGTACCCACCCGCACTCAAGCTCCAACGATGATCTATTTGGACATTTATAGCAACACGCTGTTAAACAAACTGCAGGTCTAACCCCAAAATTAACTGATTTAATATCTGAAAGACCCTTAAAGCTAAACATTAAAAGTGCATAAAATAACGAAATAGATTTTAATTACATTCACACACAGAGATGTTGTCTAGTGTTAAATGCAATTATGAGATAATTAAGAAATAACGAAGCGCTATTTCTCATTTGTGGCACAAATTAGTTGCAACTGTGCAACTGAACACTGTTCCCCTCTCACTACAAATTTTACTAGTCAGTGCAGGAGCCGGTGATTCTTCTGTTTGGACCGGTCCGCGCAGCTGTAATGCATCCAGGTGGAGTGGCGGAGTCTTGTTCATCTGCTCTTCCTGGCCAGTCCTGTTGGATCCTGTTCTGATCCAAAACTGCTCAACAAAGGAAAGGGGGGGCGAAATATTTATTACGAGCTTCCCAGTGCAGAGGACATAGACTAAACAGACAAAGAACCTAAACCACTGTATACGGTACACCCGCCCCCAACACACCAGCCGACATATATGGACAGATATCAGCCAGACCGTTTCAACACATTCTGATTCACTCCAGAAAATTAATTGCAGTGACACCACTCACTAGATCGGCAACTGCCTGCTTTTTTCGGCATGAGCCATAATGTCACCACCATTGAGATTATTGTTGAGCGCTTTATATTAAGGCAAAGTCGGCACATTAAGGCACATTGAACAGTATTTCATTATTTTCTCACGATTTACTTCGGTTTCTGTGCTATAAATAAGAAGTGTCCTAGCACTACAACTGTCGGTTTATTGCAGGAAGAAAAGAACTACTGTACCGGCATGATTGCAGGCAAAGCACCTGCTGCAACAGGTACAGTAGGTCAGTTCCCCTTAACTACCTGTGGCCAGACCAGCTCGGGGTCTACTCTCTCACTCCAAGTCTCCGCAAGGTCGACATTTCAGCGTGTGAAGGATAATGAGGCAACCCCTCCAGTGGCACCTGGTCCCCACTTGAAGGGTCCTTTCACGCCGTAGCGACGCGCATTTCCCAGCGTGACGAGGCTGCTCCGCATGCAGCTGCATGGTAGCCGCCCTTCCAGTCACAGTAAAGTTACAGGGATTATTACGGTAACGTCACGGGCCTTTTATTAGCTTGTTTTTTTTTACAATTTAAATGTACACTTCAATGTGTGATGCTAAGCGTCTCCCGTGAGATTATGGAATTGGGTGAACTGTCTCCTCCAGGGCCGAACAGCCCAGCCCTGAAAACGTCACCTCTGCGTGCAAACCTCCGTCCTGCTCTTGTCTGCTCTGGGTTAACAGACCGCAAACAACAGTGCAGCTTGTGCTCTGGCAAAGAAAGTACAAATAAAAGCATTTACACTTTTTACGGGCACCTAGAAGGCAGAGGCGACTCGAAGCTGGATTTTTAGCAGCGTTCAGGCAGTTCTCTCCTTTAGGCACACCGCAGCCTCGCAGATAGTTAAACCAGCCCATACACGGTGCCTGTTTAACTAGGGTAAATTCCCCACCTTTTGTGGTGATTTCTAATGGCCTCATGGTTTCAGCAGCACCGCAGGGACGGACAGCCCGGCGTCATCTGATTCGCTCTCGCAAAACACAGCGCGCTGCTGCAGGTGCGCTTTCGTTACCGTCCGTTCATGAGTGGCGTTTTATTCAGCAACCGCACGGTGGATCGGAGTTCATCTATACTTTTAAATCAGCTTCTACTCCTGCTGGAGACCTGCGGAAATGTATCCGGATCGCAGTCCGATGTTTATAGGACGTGGGCTTTAACATCTTCCTCACGGAAGTGAGTGATTTTCTCTACTCACTCATCAAGACAGAAACCGTGGCGACTGAAAATGTCAAAAAGTGGTGGGAAATGTGGATTAACCTTGCAGTTTTCACGATGTATCGATTTGCGCATTATTCTACCACTAATCAAACGTATTTAACGCGCTGAAAGGAGAGAATGAAATGAGACGATAACGTGCGCCCCGGCCTCCGCGAATGAGCTCCACCCCTCGGCTGCCGGATGCTCTAAGAGACCTGGATCACCTGCGGACACATCGGCTCTGTTCCCTCTTGGGTTCCTCCTTCCAGGTTTCATTACAACAGCACGTGATGAGTGTTTTCACGGTTTTCTCATCTGAGCCCCTTCATTCACCTGCTGTCTGCAGTGCTCTGTTGTGCGTCAACATACCTGTCCAGCTGATCTTCTACATTCTCCATTCCAGTGCTCTTCCTCTTCTGCAAATGGTACCATCCCCTAGGGCTTGTCTGGACAGTGAGCAAAAAAGTACTGTTGGCATCTTTCCCCATCACTTTCCCTGTTTAAATTATTAATAATTTAATCATTAACACATCTGCCATCTGTGAATGAGTGCCAAGGTATGTGAGTTGTTCCACCTGTTCAAACACTTGACCTTAGGTCTGTTCTTATGTTGCTGCTGCTTACCTGCCTGTGTTATCAGCTTCTCCATCTTGACTGGGCGGCTTGTTCCAGTCACTCACAACCTTTTGTGCAGTTCACTACCTCCTGTGTTTATCGAAAGATGAAGCTGATAACACAGGCAGGTAAGCAGCAGCAACATAAGAACAGACCTGCATGGTAGCCGGCCCTCCAGTCACAGTAAAGTTACAGGGATTATTACGGTAACGTCACGGGCCTTTTATTAGCTTGTTTTTTTACAATTTAAATGTACACTTCAATGTGTGATACTAAGCATCTCCCGTGAGATTATGGAATTGGGCGAACTGTCTCCTCCAGGGCCGGACAGCCCAGCCCTGAAAACGTCACCTCTGCATGAGCAATCATACTTCTTCAGAAGGACTCCTGTCCTCTCGCCATTCCCTTGGCTAGTAATCTCAGTGTTTGTTTCTGACTTAGCTTTGTGTGTGCATAATTAAGGCCTCTCAATAATGCAAATCATAAAATAACATTTAAAATTTACTAGAATCTAAAATGCATCCTTTGTGAAACCTATCCAGAATTCACTGTGTTGTTTTAGGTTAACAGTGCTGCCAGCATTTGCACAGCTGGGAAACAGCTCTGACCTGCAGGCTGCCTCACCTGGACATCTCCGCGAGCCAGGTGGAAACAGAGCTGTGTGCGTGGGTTCTGGCCAGTGTGCCTGAGTCCTGGCAGCAGTTGTCCAGCAGGTGGCAGGGTTTCTCCATCAGAAACATGGCACTTTTCCTGAAAAAACACAGGCTCTTCTTAAAACCGCTGAGAAGGACCAGCGAAGTACAAATGGATTTTTTTTGCTTTAGCTGTACCATGTATGCAATGGCTCTGCAGCTGGTAAATGCCTAGAGTGGACCAAAACACTACGCAGTGGTCAAAGCTCCTTTTTCACTCAAGGCTATGAAAGATGGAGACAGGGGAAGATGACATGGAATTCAAAATTGCATTACTGACTTTGGAGATTTATGCAACCTTTTTTTGCAACACAGCAAAAGAACAGGCAACATCTGCAAGTTTCACCTAACTCCTGTCTATGTAAACCATTAATCAAGCTGACTGTAATTAGAGCATAGCACTGTCGCATCCCACAAAAAAGCTCTTCCACAACCACAATTTCTAGCAATGCAAGCACTACAATTAGCCCACATCTAATTTGCATCTTTAACAACATCAGCCAAAATCATCAATTTTGAGCAGATCCTCGTGTCAGCTGTCCAACGTTAACTACCTACCTCATAAGCTTGGTTCCTCAACTGATGCACAGAGCTTCCTGATCTCAACATGTTTAACACGAACTGACACTCATACAAAAGCTGTTAGCTAATTAAAACTTGTTAACCAGCTCCTTTGCCATTAATTAAGTTCCACCATGGGGCAATGTGGTGGGGTGGCAGTTAGTGCTGCAGCCTCACAGCTTGGTGGTGCTGGGTTTGATTGTGGATATGCAACATTCTTGGGTCAGCATTTCTCCCAGTGCTCCCAGTGCTCTCCCACAGTCCACAGTTGATTGGTAGCTCTGAGTTGTGCAGTGTATGCCCTGCAATGGACTGGAGCTGTGTCCAGGGTGTAGTCCTGTGCTTTGTGTTTCCAGGATGGGCTCTGTGTTTGCCAGACTCTTCCTAGGGATAATTGGCTCTGTGAAAATAATGGAAGTTTAAAACCATCTACAAATCCTTCCTTTCACTTTACAAAATGGAAAAGAAATTGCTCCAGTGCTTCTAACATTTTTGGGGAACATGGGACAATCTTACTTCCTAACATCAGGGTTTGCATTTTGCAGCATCTATTCAGAACACATGCTAGTGACTGTACACACTCCAGACCAACATTTTTACAAACACTTTTTATCATTCTCCCTTCCCAGGGACAGCTAATCCCTGGTGCTTTCCTGGCTTTAATTACATTGCTCCGTTTGTGTTCTAGCTCCGCCATCTGAGCAGTCCTCTGAGGACCGGGGATGGAAACTAGGTTACACATTCTCCCACTCCACCACTACTATACACGAGCAGCCTGCGCCCAACTCTGTCCTAAACAACACAGCGGGCACCGGGACACCTGGGCACAGGCTCCGTCGGTTTTGTTGAATTTATTTAACTACACTGAATGTAATTCTGATGGAAATTCAGTTCAGTTGAACAGCCCCCCTTCCCAGCTGCCTTGTCTCTTCCTGGCTTTTTCTCTACCCCCTTCTCTTCTACTTTCTCTCCTTCTGCCTCTACCCCTCTTTCCTTCTCCTCCTGCCTCTCCAACCCCCTCAATCATTTCTCTTCCCCGTCTCTCCCTCTGCTGCTTTCATCGCCTGCTTTCCATCCTCCTCCTGCTCTCTCTTGCCAAAACCACTTTAAACAAAGACCTCACACTTAAAGATTTATCAACGTCCTGGACTTCATTGTCTCCGGTAATTGCTCTCCCCACTGGGGCATAGGCACTCCACTGCAGGCCCCTCCTCCACAAAATCGATTTCAATCCTTTTGCAGCTTTTAAACACTGCTGGCCCTTTCCCCCCCTTCTTCAGCTCCTTTTTCATAACTCTCTCTCACACACACACAAAGAGCTACAGACCTTACTCACACGCCCACACAGGTACACGTACAAACACAGGCACACAGACACTCATGCTCACACAGACACGTACACATGTCTACACAGTGGCAGGTGGGTACCAGCTGCAGCCCCCAGTGCTGCCCCAGTGCCCTGGACTGTCCTGCACCACAGCGACACCACACTGTGCCCTGCGCTGTGGATCTTCTGTTACAGCCTCAGTCCTCTTCACCCAGGACAGTGCACTCCATGAAAGCCGCATACATTTGTTTTCCTAAAACATTAGCAAAAGGAATAAACTCTTTTGGGGAAACGTGCGGTATCTGTTGAGTGTAGGAGAGAATCATATTTCAAACCTACATGATCCCAATATGTACCACACACTCAGCACATGAAAACATCAGTCTTCTGTATTTCCTAACCCCATTCCTTATTTTTATATGCCCGTCTAGCAATTCTATCTTCAATTCCCCATTCACACACACAGTATCCCACACTCCATAATGTAGATTCACATTCATACTGTACACGGCCTCTTCCTTCACTATTTCACATTCCATATCCATCATTACCTATTCGACATTCCTTGTTTCTCCTTGCTTATTGCACATCCCATATATCTTTTTCCTGCATTTCGCTCTCCCCTGCCCACATTCCCTATTCTGCACTGTGCGTCGCTGCAGCCCAGCCTGGCTGCCGCAGTGCTCACCACTCTGTACTCCCTCCCCAGGCAGCTCCACGCGCGGGTGGCCACTTTCCTATTTGCATTTTCTCCACGTTTATTTCGAACCCTTTCGACCGCGTGTTTGCCAACAGTGAAATTCATTAAGAAATATGTCATTCAGAGCACAAGTCAGACATTTTCCAGAGCAACGCTAAGTGGCCTCCTTGATCGACAGGCAGATGAACCGCTGAGTTATGATGTCAACGACAGCAACACAAGCTGCCATGAAATGCGCCAGTCAAGGTCCTTACTGGGACACCTCAGGGTGGTGTAGCTGCACCCTGACAGGGGGAATTGGGCTTAAGGTCATTGTGAGAGATGTTGTTTTTAAGGTTAGGGTGTATAAGAAAGGAAAATGCTAAAAGTAATTATGATTATATTAATAAATATCCCATCTTAATTACTCTGGGCGACAGAGGTCATCTGATAATTAAAAAACAAATTGCTCTATCATTGAGCAGATTGTGAGCAGGCAGTGCAGTCAGGCATGGTGGAGCTGTCCTGTATCCACAGGGCTGTGAAAGTCAGATGAGTCTAAGTTAGTGGGCAGCCCGGGATGCTACAGAACCCCTTCTAGAAACGCCCAATCTGATGCTAAGCACTACACCCCAAAATACCCCCCCACCCACCCCCCATTCGATGCTCTGACACCTGGCCTGTGGTGGCACCCCATATCAGAAACACCCCATCTACTGTGTGCCCACACCCCTGAGCTCAGGACTTTATGAGCACAGGTGCTATACACCGCCCTGCAGAGCCCGCCTGCCTTGGCAGTGAAGGTCACTTGCGGTTATCTCTAAGACGTGTGCCATTAGATGGTGAGAAAGAGACCACTGTGAGGACACAGGGAGGGAGGCACAGACAGTATGTACAGTAGGTTATATTACATTAAAGTCAAAGAATGCAGCCTTAGCATCAACTCCAATTTCAATTAACACAGCCCTTGTTTTTCTCCATTTTTTTTTTTCATCCAGAAGCAACAGAGACGGAAAAGCCTCCTACCAATCGATGCATCCATGAAGGATAATGGCAACCCTTCAGATGAAACGTGAACATCTGTCTGTCCATCTGTCCAGGTGAGCCAGATCACACATCCTCTAGCTGACCGTTTTCGTTTCACGTCACTCTGCGCCCTCCCTGCACCGCCCCACACTCCTTCTCCCACCGCCTCCTGACTGGGGGGGCGCTCAGGCTGATAAGGCAAGGGGTTGTGTGAAGTGGGTCAGGCTGAGCTGGTGCCAGGTCCCCAGGTACAGGCAAGCAGGTGTGCCAGTGACTGGGGCTGGGGCTGTGAGAGACTGGCTGTAGAGTGAGGGATTGTATACACAGATTCTAAAAATAGTTTACGTCATGGACCACTCCACACACAGACCTCCTTTTTCCCTGCGTTTCCCTACGCAGGTGAGTGTCAGGTGTGTAGAGAAACAGGAGATGGGGAAGGACAGGCAGAAACCCAGAGACGGGGAGAAGTATGGCTGAATTATTTTCCTCTGGGTTTTGGTCCTTCATTTTGAAGGTGACACATTTTCTATCAGATGTTTGGCAGGTAGCCTGGATCTTCCCGTATTCCCTTTCTTTTCCTCCCCTGGTCCCTGGTTCCCTCTGCTGAGTGTCCTGCTTTGTTGCTCCTCCCTGCTGCAGCTGTGTGTGTGTGTGTGTGTGTGTGTGTGTGTGTGTGTGTGTGTACTGACTTGATATATGTAATTCAGAGCCTTGTAGGAAAACTGTCGCTGATAGGAATCTTTAATATAGCTGCTCTTCCTGGCACCCACCTCCATTCTGCACATTCCTGTACTGAGAGATTTACAGCTGTAATTTAAAATACAGGTTTCTGGCTGTGTGTGTGTGTGTGTGACCTTTACCACAAGATGTCAGGCTAAAGCGATATTTGTCTGTCTCTTCTCCCCCACTCATTTATTCTCTGTCCCACTCCCTCGCTCTATTCCTGGAGCCTGGGCTGGCACAGCTCCCTGACAAGCCTGCCTGCCTGCCCTTTGGCTAGGGCAGGACATAAGCCCCTCTTGTATGTGCCTTTACACAGCACCCCCCCGTCGGTGTCGCTGGTAAGAGTGCTGGCAATCTGCCGTCAGAAATCATGGCATGCAGTCCCGGGTGAAAATTATTTGATCGTACTCAGCCGCGCCACGTTAGAACGCTGCTCTCCTGCACGCCGGGGGAGAGAGCCCACGTTTCTCTGCTCTGGCGCGTGCCCCCTGTCGTGGCCCGCGTGTGTCCGTGTTTATTCCCGGGATGACATAAACATACAAGGAGCCTCCCCTCCTCCTAAGGAAGGTCAGGATCAAGGGGAGGAGGCTGCAAAAGTGTTGAAATGCTGATAGAGAGCAGAGTCACAGCGGACCTTCAGCACGATTCCTCTGTGTTCCTAACGATCTGAGGTGTAAATGACATGCTGTGCGAAGAGTGTGAAGATGAGTGGGTTTTTCATGTGTAATGCTGGCTGAACTCCCCGCTCAGGGAGCTGAACACAATTTGGCCATTGCTGACAGCAGTGGCTCTCAAATGAGTGCCCTGCGAAGGAAGGTTAAAAGGCAGAGAGAAAAATGCAGTTCATTCGCTTTACTGCGGAGATGCTGTTGATTGGGGGGTGTGCAGTCCTGCTCCTGGAGAGCTGGTGTCTGTTTTATAAGCAGCAGCACACGCAGAGCTGGGAGAAGCTGTTGAATAGGTCCAATTAAGGCAACAGCGAGCAGAGTTAGCTCGTTAAGAGTTGAGCTGGAAAGAAAACCTGCAGACACACTACAGCCCTCCAGCAGCAGGACTGGAGCCCCACTGTGGGGGAATAAATCTGTTTTTTTTTTTGGTTAGTTTGGCGGATTACCTTTGGAGATCTCATAGCCTCCAGAGAACGTAGATACTGTATGCTCCAGATATGAGTGCTGACTGCAGTACCTTGGCCGTCGGCTATCTGGTCCCTACAGACAGGCTGGTGGTCAGGAGCTGGACTGGTGGGTCAAGCTGTACTTTTACCTATATTGTTTAATGTAGTCTCTTAGCATTGCTTTTATACTGATAATAAGAGAGGGCTAAAAAGTGTGTATCTCTCCATCTCATCTTTTCTTTTTCACATTTATAAAAACATTGTTCTCACACACAGAAGCTCCAGATGTTGCCCGAGCGACTTGTGGAGTCCTTCCTCCCCATACTGTAGTGATGGACAGTTTGCAAGTGCAACAGAATTTTTTCATTAAGTAAATTAATTCTCGCAAAGGCAGATCAATATACACAAACAAAAACTGACTAACCACTCCCACACACAAATGTTATATATGCTCATTAATAATTTAAGTTGAAAGGTCAAAAAGGAACAAGAATGAGCAGACCCTTACCCTAAGGGTAAGGTTTATAGTTAGCCCTAAAAAACCTATTCTATTTTCCTTGTCTTCTCCTCTGAATTCAATTCAGATGTGTCATAATTGCCAAAGGGTTAAATAATACGGCATCATTTAACATAAAGAAAAATGCAAATCCCTTTGTTTATGTAAACAAATTAGTTGCTTTTCCCTCTCCGCTCTCTGTCACAACCAAGGTGATTTAATGCCACTCAGGAGATGTGTTTCACCTAAAGCCACTGTGTCTCTTCCTGGTTAATGTGTCCTGGGCAGGACGTCAGCGGGGGTGGCAGAGAGAGGGAGTCCCGAGCTGATGGCTGGAGGGAGAGAGGAAAAGAAGAAGAGCAGATTTCTCTACTATACAGCACGTCTTGTATACACTATGCATGCAGTAGTTAATTGCAGCGTAACCCGGAAATATTTAAAATATATACGGCGCACGCAAATATATTGCATATACTGAGTTATGGCTTTAGAAGAGGTTGAGTTGCCCCATGCAAAAAAAGAAAGTTGTTGTGCTGGTTTAGATGGGTAATGAATCACATTTCATGTTATGAACATTCTTTTCAGTTCAACAGTATGAACAAACTGTCTTGAACAGCAATTATTACACGGTTTGCATTTCTTGCTACTTGAATGAAACAGGATGCTTGTTAAAAAACATCCTGAAACAAATGTTTTTTTTAATTATTTAAACTGTGTGTGGAACACAAAACTCTTCTTTTATTCTCCAGTCTGTCATGCCTATGATACACACAGTAGTTTCATCAGTGCACGGCGCTAGGCAGACAGAGGGAGATGACAAATAGGCCTGTGAAATGAGAGCAAGGCTGACAGGCGGGTGGTGAGGAATGTGCTCCACTTTCTGTGCCTTCTCACGTGCCTGGGAGGAGGGTGAGATGTGTAAGAGAGGAGCAGAGGCAGCGAAAAAGCGACTTTGACTATAAACCTCCCTTTTACTTAAAGGTCACGACAAAACAAAAAAAAAACGGAGAGGGAAGAAAGCAAGAGAAGGAGAGACAGAAGGAGTGGGAGTTCGGGCGAGAGAGGAGGTGAGAGAGCGAGAGAGAGGGTGATTTCTTGATGCAGATGTACAGTATATTGAACGTAATACACTTTTCTAGTCCAGTTTACATCGGTGTGATGTCTGAGTGGGTTTTGTTAAATCTATCTTATTTAGTGCTGTCTTGTCTGTTTAACCTGTTCCCCTACACACTAGTGCTACTGGTCTTGACTCTCTGGCAAAAACTGCTTGGTCTCAAGAGAGAGGGTGGGTGGGTGACACTGACACACTGTGTCACTGCCAGGCCCTGCACTCTGTGTCGGGTATCTGCGCCCGTCAGCTGTCCAAGAGATGAGGCATTGCTCTGTCTTTCAGATTCAAACATGGTTAATTGCTGTGACAGAAAGTATTGGCCATGTTTCACATTTGCAGAATAAGGTGTGACAATGTACGGTAGAGTACACAAGAAAAAACAGAAACCTTCTTTTAGAGTGATATAAGACGGTAAAAAGACACAATAGCAAAATAAACCATTGTTTAGCTCTTCACATTTAGGGTCACAATAGTCCCTCAGCCTCTTCAACATTAAGGAATATAACTCCCCACTACCACTTCCTCAGCATTCGGGAGAAGAGTATCCCCCTCCCCCATTCTCTCTGCTGTCTGCAGTCACCACCTTTCTTACGTGTGGCAGTAATCTCTGAGCTCTTATCCTAAATCCACTCAGATAAATGAACCAGGAGAGCTCTGCTGTTTGGCTGTGTGCAGGACTAGAGAGCAGTATAGCCAGAGAGACAGGGAGGCAGGAGACAGGGGACAGGGACAGATTGAGAGAGAGGGACAGACAATTAGTCCCATACCTACTACTAATCAATAAATAGAACATAGGAGTAAGACTATGGCTACACCTAAAAAAGCAGTGGCTTAAACTCCTACCACCACAAGGCCCTGCTGAGCCCAGAGAAGACCCCACTACGTCACCTAGTTCTGAAGCTCACTGTGCTGAACCACACTAAACCTGCCAGACAGCTGGTCAGAACACCACAAATCAGTCACCCAGAGTCACAGAATGAGCCAAACACGACATCACCCAATTGTTCAGACGGAAAAGTGCAACATAAACTGCAATGCTACCGAACTCTAAAAAGACTATACGCACTGCCTGGGTATCTGACCTGGGTGTAAGACAACAAAGACAAATAGACGACGACGAAGTACAGCTTCAGTGACCACAGCCTGGCCATTGAAAGTGGATAACACTGGCAGACCTGGCTGCACAGAGAGGGCAGTCCGTACTCCCTCTGCCAGTAGGCAGAAGCAGAGTCAGCTGCACTGCAAGAAATAAGAAAATCTAATCCCAGCATTCCCACTCCTGCCAGAATCAGAACAGCGCCCATTCCTACTGGAGGAGGAAACTCAGTGGAGCTGTAGCCCAGAATGTGATCTTCTGTCACAGCCTGAGGGATAGAGCGTGAGTCCCTGAAATAATAATATAACATTGTCCTGAACTGTAATTGTTATTGCTTTAGCAAAACTGTAATTCGTTGGTCATTTCCAAAAAGGTATTTGAATATGATAGAGAAGTGAAGGCAATAGGGACAGGAGAGAGAGAGATGGAGAGAGAAAGTTAGGCTGTGTGAAGACTGTCAGGCTGCATATGTGATCAGAACCCCTCCCCCTGTGTCTGACATCCCACAGTCCCCCCAGGGTTTCAGCGCTCAACCACCCCACTGTGTCCTGTCACTGACAGTGCTGACAGCCATGAGTCACAGCACATCAGCACTTGCTCAGGCCATGGTTTATTAAACCTGACCACTTATTTATTTATTGACATGCTTTCTCTGTTACTTGGCATGACTGGCCCATGCTACACCATACCCCCCCCTCATGGCTCTCTGCTTGTTTCTCTCCCTGGCATCTATATTTCTTTTTCTGCTCTGACTCTCTTCGATCTCTGTCTCCCATGTCCTTGGCTCCAACCTGCAGTACCCCTCCCTCTCTGCCAGTGCCTCGTCTCTTTCCTATGGCCCAGGCTGCCTCCCTTCCATCTCTACCAGTGCCTCGTCTCTTTTCTGTGGCCCAGGCTGCCTCCCTGCCTCTCTACCAGTGCCTCGTCTCTTT